ACTTACCTGGGTCTTCTTTTTTCTTTTTGTTAATGACATGTAACCATACTTTTTATACTAATGATAGTACTACAATAAATAATGCAATAAATAACACGGAATAAATGGACGAACAATTCCCATGTTGACCTTAAATTATTTGTATATATATGTATTACATTATACTTTTTCATTTCTGGCTCCTTAATTGTTTTTTATCCATGAAGTTATTAATTTCTGTAAAAGTTTTTAAGTTTACAGAAAAATCTGAAATTTGTATGACATGCTTTGACACCTAGTATTATTTAAATGCCTTTCTTATTTATAACCAACAGAAAGCCAATGTTTTCATCTATCAAGTGATGTATTATACTACGTTCTTTTCTGAGCAGACAATTGTCCATTTCTCTTTTAGTACAAGCTTTGTTCTCACGGGAATCATATCGACTAGCTTGGATGAACTTGTAAAGGTTCTTACTGCATAGTTAGAAAGCTGGAAAAATTGTGATCATTATAGGACATTGTCTACTTTTTGCATGTTATTATTCTATAATCTTTGGTGCATTAATTAATTAAATAAAAATTATTTAGTGCACTAATACCATTAGTATAAAGAAACGTAGGGTTAAGTGTCATCAACAGCATAAAAAAAAGAAGGTCCAGGTAAGTACTTTATTTCTTGTTTTCATGTGTATTCTTTATTTATTATTAATCAGGTAACTAGAATGTAAAAATAGTAATCTCTTAAGTTAGATGAGAGCAGCTCGAAGTGGCTCATGGGTAATGTAATTCGATAACTTGACATTAACTCCACATTCCCCAAGTGATTTACAACTTAATGGTGCAAATAGTAATTAGACATGGTTCAAAGGGCAATAAAACAATAAAATTGAAGTATAAGTAGATGTACACTGTTACAATTTGAAGTTATTCTAGAAAGAAAAAAAAGGTTATTCAGATTTATTTCAATACCAACCTTGTATATAGTTAGGGTAGAGAAAATAAGAGATAAATATAAAGTTTCACTAAATACAAATGCTTGAAATGTATTTAGGAAGTTTTAGAGATTTACGCAAATGAAATTTGAGATTTTTGAGATAAAGAAAAGTATTTTTAATCTGAACATGAAATTCACTTTGCACTTGGACTAGTGAAAAAAAAAAGACTCAATATATTCACGGACAAATCTTTTTTTAGTTTATTAACCATATCGCCATCTGTATTCTTTACTGTGCATGACACAAGGTTTTAGTTTCTTACATTCAAAATTTTATTAAACAACTTTTGGTTTATGTTATACCAATTAGAATAGCATAAAATATTAGCTGATAATCCATATTTTAATAGTATATATATGTTTCAAGTTCTTAATTCTACAAGGCAATGATTAAAAAAATTCTGAATTTCCAATAGTGTGACACACATGACACATTTTCTTCAGGCATCTTCTTTCTATTTTATCCACCACTCCTTGGAAAAGTATTAAATTAAATTAAATGTAAATTACTCACTATAAAATTGTCATTGCTCCAACAAGCCATATTGTTTATAGTCTTCAATTCTATTTGGTTACAGAGCTATCGAATAGAAAATCAAACCCCTCCTGTCACATCCTCTCTCTCAGGATTTGTTAATAGTTCTCTCTTATGTTTAATTATATATTACCAATAACAAATAAAAAGTCGAGGTTTTCATCTATCAAATGATGTATTGTATAATGTTCTGTTCTGAACGGTTAAATGTCAGTTTCACTCTGAGTACCAACATCATTCCCGTGAGAAAGTTAATGACTAACTTGGATGAATTTGTAACGACTCTTGTCGTATAGTTGGAAGGCCAGAAAAATGTTGAGAGGTAAGGGAATTTGTCTACTTTTTGCATGTCATTAGTCTATGTTGTTTGGTGCATTATTTAATTAAATAAAAATTATTAAGTGCATTACTATCATTAGTATATAATAATTAGGGTTAACACTCTTCGACAATTGAAAGCAAGAAAAAGAAGATTGGATAAGTATTTTATTTCTTGTTTTTCATGTTTATTCTTTATGTATAATTATAAAAGCAATTAATAGTAAAATTAGGGATCCTTTTAGGTTAGTTAAGATTAGATTAGGTAAAATAAAGAATAATAATATAATAAAAATGTTTCTCAAGACACACACATGAGCAGCTCGTGGGTAATGTAATTTGTTAGCATAACATGAGCTGCATGTTTCCTGAGTGATTTACAACTTATAATGGTGCTGATAGTAGTTAGACATGGTTCAAAGGGCAATAAAACAATAAAATTTAATTACAAATAGATGTATAATGTTACGAACTTAGAGCTACTTAGGATAAACAAATGTAGTTTCATGTTACAATTTGAAGTCATTCTAGAAAGAAAAAATGGTTAATTTAGGTTTATTTTGATTTTTTGTTTTGGTGGTTACGAGGTCAGTTGAATTGACCAATCCCGTTTTGAGATAGGATAGAGAAAATAACAGATAAACTATACAGTTTTACTGAGAAAAAAACATTTGAAATTCATTTAGGAGGTTTTAGGGATTACACAAAGGAAATTTGAGATTTTTGAAATGAGGAAAGGTATTTTTAACCTTAACATGAAAATTACTTTACACACGGACTGTTCAAAACAAATATTCAATATATTCTTGGACAAATCTTTATTTTATTTTATTAAAAATACTTCACTAAGAAATATGATTTTTTTGTATATGAAAGACTTGTAATGTTTACTGAAAGTCTGTCAAATTTTATGAAGATACACATATGAAGTTAGTAGTATCAAAACTATAAAGAGTTGAAATGAGTACAAAGTGATCATGTGGTCGGCCAATTCGACTGAGCACGTGTAGAGAGAGTTATGATTTATCCGTGAATATATTGAGTCAATGTTGACTACTTCAAGTGCAAATTGATTTTCATGTTAATATCAAAAATACTTTTCTTCATCTGAAAATTTTCAAAATTTGCTTTCATAACCTTTAAAACCTCCTAAATAAATATCAAACTTTTTTTTTCAGTAAAACTTTATATTTGATCTGTTATTTTCTCTACTTTAACTCCATATGGAACTGGTCAACCTTGTAACCACCATAACAAAAATATGAAATAAATCTAAACTACCCTTTTTTCCTTTAAAAAATGACTACAAATTGTAAAAGGAAAATACATTTGTTTATTCTAAATAGCTTAAGGCTTATAATATTATACATCTGTTTATACTTAATTTTATTGCTTTATTGCCCTATGAACCATATCTAACTATTAATCCTGCCACACAACTTGTAAATCACTTGATGAACATGTTACTCATGTTACTGTATTGAATGATGTAATGCATGAGCTACTCATGAGCATACCTTTTGAAGAATTTTTATTATTATTTATTCCTAGTCTAACCTAAATTAACATAATAAGTTTCTAATTTTTACCTTTTAGTTACTTTTATAGCAATAAATAAAGAATATACGGGAAAAACAAATATGGTACTTACCTTTAGTCTAGTTTTTTTGCTGTTGGTTGTTGATAAAATTTAAGCCTACTTTTTTTTTATACTGATGGTATTAGTACATTAAATAATTTTTATTTACATAAATGATGTACTATGGACACAGCATAATAACACACATAAAACAAGGTTCTATAACTATTATAACTTAACTGGCTTTCTAACTCTCCCACAAGAGCCTTAATTTTGTATACGCTTCTCGATCTTACCACTGCAAGAGAAACAATCAAAATGAAATAGAAATTACTCTGCACTGAAAGCAATCCAACATAGTATGTTGTTTGATAGATTAAACTTTGTCTTTCTATTAATTACAAATGGTACATTATAAAATGTCCATGAGATCTGTTGCCAATTTGTGAAAGAGATGATGTGACAGGTGGGTCTGATTTTCTAGTTTGACTCTGTAAACAAATAAGATTGAAGGCTATAAAAATTAGACTTTGCCTTAGTAATATCTAATTATAATGAGTAAGTTATGTTAAATTCTGTACTTTAGAGAGGGGTGTTAAATAAATTAGAGAAAGGTGAAGACCTAGAGAATAAATGTCATGATTCTTATACTAAGAGAGACTGAGAATTTTTTCACTGTTTCCTTATGAAATTAAGAACTTAAAATTTATAAACTATGTTTTGATGGTAAGTTTATCCGTACATTGATTATAAAGTAGTTTAATTAAATATTGAATGTATCTCTACAAGGTCAAGACATGCCCACTCTGACCTATCTATAGTGAAAGGGTTAAACTCCCTTAAATTAATTGCATCCATTTCATATTAATGCAACCATATTCCAAAGGTCAGTCGCCCTGTTAGAAAAATATAGCTGTCTTAGCTGAAGATGACTCCTAACCCATATGAATTGTTAATTATGTCCTCTAATCATATCATTCCCACTAAACTCTCTTATGAATATTAAACGCCTCAATCAGATTTCTTCTAACTCTTCTTTCAAGAAAAACAGTTTCTATCCCAGATATCATCCTAGTATCACTTCTCTGAGCCCTTTCCAACAATTCCATGTCCCCCCTAAGGTAAAGAGGCCAAGATTAAACACAATACTTTAGGTGTGGCCTATCCAATAATCTGTACATTAAAATAGTTTTTTAGATTAACAGGTTATTGAAATACTGATAAATTTTGAACGTGCTTTGTTTTACATTAGATTTTATCATTGTTTAGAAATTTTTGTGTTGTTCCACACCAAAGATTTCACACAACTCTCATTCATAGAAATTTCATTAACTTTGTTCATTGTTCTCCTGTTTTAGAATTGTAAACTGGTTGTGAGTCTAGCTCCTGTTAAATTGTAAAGCCAAAATGTTGAACCAGTGAAATAAGTTCATATCTATATGGAGGCACAGTTCAGTTTAATTTTAACTAAAAGTCTGTTTATATTTAGTTGTCAAAAATATTTTGTCATACAAAGAAATTAGTAAATAATCTTGTAATTAGATGAGTAAATTTGTCATTTATCTGCAACTATTAAGTATAGAATATGGTGTCTTAATATACAGTTTGAGAGTTGGGGAGACATTTTATTGGTGGGCTGATTCTGAACAGAGATTTGAACTCCTTGTGATATCTGGAATCTGAATTGCCCATTAGCATTATTGAATTCACACTAGTTTCTAGGCTATGAAGTATTAAAAATCATACCAACTCCCACAAGTCCATTCTCACACACCTGTTGCACAGTACAAGATCTGGTTTTCTGCATCTTTATGGGCAAACACTATTGAGAAATGAGTTCTTTTGGAAGTAAAATGTTTTTCGTTTTTTTTCTTAGGTTAAAAGATTGAGCTCTTTATTGGAGTACATTTTTCTTTAGTCCTAACTTGAATACCAGAATCTTGACACCTCTCTCTAGCCTACCCAGTCTCCAAAATTTGGTCCTGTCAATTCACAGACTAGGTGTGTTCTTCTTCAAATATTTTCATGTGTATTTTTGTTGTTGTTTTTTTAAACTGGCAAATATTGCACATGGTTTTTAAATTTAAATTTATTTACAGGGCAGAAAGAGCAATTCGCTTTGAAAAAGCCAAAGCTAATGAGCTTAGACAAAGACAGCTGCAGGAGGAAAGAAAATTAAAAGCAGAACAAGAAAGAGCAGCAACAGAAGCAGCTGCCAACAGGTGTGCTTACATTTTGTGTAGATACTACTTTCTGTGCTTCATAGGGATTCATAATGGACTTTTTTAAGTAATACATAAACAGCTAAGAAAACATTAATTTTAGCTATGTTATTTTGGAAAAAGTGTCCAATTTTATATGAGTAAGAAAACAGGAACAGTCATTAATGAAAAGGTTCAGTGTAGTTAAGTATTTGAAATAATTGCATCAGGAAGGATGATACTAAATTTAAAACAATAAAAGAGATGAATAACCCAGTAAATAAGCAGTAATTGTTATAAATTGTTTAAAATAGTAAGAAGTTATTATTCATTGGCTTATAAAAAAAAAAGTTATTTAGTATAGTATTGAATATTAGTGTAAACTAGTAACTCTCTGTGTAATGACTGCAGTTTAGAAGGTTGGATAGATAGTTCCTCAAGTAAACCTGAATTAGCACCCTCTGACTTCCATGTTTTTGTTTCTGTTATGAACATCACTTCCAGAAAACTAATGTTCTTAAAGCAGCTCTATGCAATTTTAATTGTAACATTATGCCATTATTTTTAGGAAATTAACTTGATAGAACAATGGGTGAAATGAATTGTACTTTATGGGGATTGTGTTGATGATTGAAATATAATTGCTGACCTCACCAACACCTTTAGTGCACAGTTTTTGGTTGTAGTGTTATATAGTTAGCTTACAAGACCTAAAAATAAAACATTTTCAAAGAGAAAAATATTATAACATGAGTGTTGATCATAGGAGCATTAGAAATATATGGTGACATAAATAATAAATATTGAAGTAACATGGAATACAAAGAGGAAGTTAAGTATAAAAATTATAGGCTTTGAATTTTTTTATATTGTCCTAAGAGGGGTCATTAATAATGTTTTTAGATTTTCTAAATAGGAACATAGAAACAGTGTAGGATGAACTATTTGAGTGTTTTCTTGTGTGCTTTGTTTGTTTATACAAGATACATATACATATGTGCAGTAAAGCTAAAATGTTGAACCAATGAAATAAGTTTATATGGAGGCACAGTTCAGTTTAATTTTAACTAAAAGACTGTTTATGTTTAGTTGTCAAAAATATTTTGTCATACAAAGAAATTAGTAAATAATCTTCTAATTAGATGAGTAAATTTGTCATTTATCTGCAACTAATAAGTATGAAATATGGTGTCTTAACAAATTTTATAATGCTAGAAATCGAGATTGGATACCAGCAGAATGCAAATGCCCCATTATGTAGTTTTGTGCTTAATAATAAACAAACATAATTGCAATTATTTCAGTTATTTATGTGAAATAATCAGTAACCCTGATTTTGATTGTATGATTGTAATTCATAATTTCTTGGAATATTTTTATACTGTTGGTATATTTATTGGTATATTTTTAGACAGCAATATTGTGGAGTTAATTTGTTTAATATGATGCTTTTATCATGGCTGTTCCTTATTAGTGGTAAGTTATTAATGATAGTGAGATCATCTGCTAATGTTCTAAAATATTGTTTGATGATTCAAACAACTCCTTTATTTTTTATGTGGAAAGTCAAGTTGAAAGAGACTCAATGACAAGGATTAGTGCAACATAATCAAAATATGACTAATGTAAAAAACAACTAATTCTAACAATTCCTCTGTACAGTACTAGCAAATTATTTCTTCTTCATCATCCTTTGTAAATATCTCAGTGTAATTTATATATATTAACTACTTTACTTGCTTAGTAATCATAAATCTTTACAGCATAGAATAAACTTTAGTTTGTTTGTTTTTTATTTGTGTTAAATTAAGTAATGCATTTTGTATAATTAGTGACAAACAAACATTTGTTGTCCAGCAATACATATTTTATAAGCAAGTAGTGAAGACACCTAACTTAATTATTTCATGCTTGAATTTCAGTCAGTTTGCTCGTATTCAGTTTCGGCTTCCTGATGGCTCATCTGTTACTAACCAGTTCCTTGCTGATGCTCCACTAGAGAGACTTCATCAGTTTGTTCAAGAGGTAAGAGCATGGATGAAGTAGTAAAACTTTACAACTTGTATTTAGTAAAATAATTCATAAGATGGTCTCAAACATCTGTAATAAAAAGTGTCTTTATAAGAATATGAAATGTAGTCTTAGATTATTCAACATAGATACCAATTGTTTTTTGTGCATCTGTATACTAGAAGATTTAGTTTTAAGAAATATATATATGATGTAATATAACTACTTTACTGTGTTTTTAGAAATACAAGTTAATGTACTGTACATGTATCAATTTCAAATAATAGACATAATTTGCAAAAACTTGTAAACACTTTGCATCTTATTCTTGTTTATGCTACACCGCCTGTGGATTTTCTAACATCTGCAAGTTCCCTATTATCTAGTATTTCAATAATGTTGCCAAATATGATTTGACAGATTCACTTTATGACTCCCATTCTGTGCTAAAGTACTTTCAGAGATTTGGAAACTAACTAGAGGTAAAGCTAAGCAATTTGTGCAGTTTGCTAATTGATTAATCATTATGTTTGACTAAGTGATTATTTTTACAAAATGGCTTTAATAAAATAAAACAAATTTTATAATGCTATAAATCAAGATTGGATATCTGACTGACTACTTACTGCCAATATCTGAATTGCTAAACTAACTGACAGTATCTAGACTAATAAACCCGATTAATGTCGGTCACTAACAGTATCTGAACTAGTAAATTCACTATCTATTCAAGGACAATATTTAAACTACTAAAATTAGTGACTAATGACTCAATGACAATATCTGAACTACTAAATTCATTGAATAACTTTGTACTTGTATTATTTGGACTACTAAGCTCAGTGACATACTGCTAACAGATATTATCTGAATGATGAAACTTATTTGCTGGCTACTAACTGAAAATATGTGAGCTACTTCTTATTCGTTGAATAACTATGTAGTGATATTATTTGGACTACTAAACTCAGTGACATACTTCTTACAGATATTATATGAAGTACAAAACTGAAAATATGTGAACTACTAAACTCAATGACTGTCTACTTGGTTGAAAGTATGTGGACAACTAAACTCAGTGACTGTCTGTTTGGTTGAAAGTATGTGAACAACTAAGCTCAATGACTGTCTACTTGGTTGAAAGTATGTGGACAACTAAATTCAGTGACTGTCTACTTGGTTGAAAATATGTGAACAACTAAACTCAATGACTGTCTACTTGGTTGAAAATATGTGGACAACTAAACTCAGTGACTGTCTACTTGGTTGAAAGTATGTGAACAACTAAACTCAATGACTGTCTACTTGGTTGAAAGTTTATGGAGTTGGGTTGGGAAATCCTCCCACATCTACCATATTCCCCAGATATGGCACCATCAGATTACTATCTTTTTCATTTGCTGTAACGCCATCTTAATGGGAAAACGTATG